CATCAGAACTATGTACTGAGAATTCTGAACACTGCATTAAGGGCAGAGAGCTGAGCGATTTTATAGAGGAGTCCTATATATGTTGTCGAAAAAGGATCTGTGTTCCAACTCTGCTACGTAGTCCTTGGGCTAATGACTCTGGTGGCCTCATTACCCTCATTTGTACAACATAACTAGTATGTATGAAGGGGCTCGGGAAAATTCATGGGGAAATTCCATTATCTTTCAATTCCCCTTTTCCAGAAACTTTTGGAAGCCTCCTCCTCATATGACGTAGGATTGTGTGAGGATTCAATGAGTTTTACGACTTGGTATGGTTCTTTGCACGGTAAATATTTAATACATGTCAGGCTAACTTTATTGTATGTTATTATTACTGTTAACATTATTCTTGTATGTGATCCCACCAATAGAAGCCTAAATTTATTTCTAAAAGCAACTGTTTGGCCCCCAACACCTCAGACCACCTTCTAACAGCACCGAGCTGCTGCGATTCCTGAAGCTGAAGGTGTTGCATTTCACATGTGTTCCCCACGTGCCCCAGAGCAGAATGGCTCTCAGGAGTCTGAGCTTCACCCCCAGTGGACAGTGCCACTTGTCTGCTCTGCTGTGACACACAGTCACCATAAGTCCAGCCTTCTGCCACGAGAGCGAACTTGTGGGACATTTAATGGGTTATCTTGCATTGTATAGCAAATTGGTGACCTGGCTTTCAAAAATAAAAGTGCAGACGCTTCATCTGTCTGTAGTCTGTCTTTGGACAGACACGCCTGGTGGCCGAGTTTCCGGGAGCCACTTGTTTCTATTTGTGGGACAGACTCAGTGTTATAAAAGACCTCTTCCTGTTCCGGAAAGTTCCTAGTTTTCACTTCCAAGATTTCCTGTAGTGTTTCCTTAGTATTAAACCTTTTAAAAATATCTGGAGTCGTTTCCGTTTAGCAGCTGTTTTCTGCTTGGCCCCTCTCTTATCAGCCTTCTCCAGATAGCTGTCTGCTCACAACTGAGTTTTACAGCCATTCTCTAAAAATGCTTACCTTATTTCTATGTAAATAACCCACACGACGTGTCAGAACTGTTACTTCGTGTAATTCTTTCTTTTTAAAAAAAATCATTTTATGTAGGGCTCAGATGACTCTTATCACAATCCATCCATCCATCCATTGTGTCTAGCACTTTTGTACATTTGTTTCCCTCATCATTCTCAAAACATTTGTTCTCTCGTGTAATTATTTCTTTGCATTCTATGGGGGTGCGTCCCTTGTGAACATTTATTTTATTTTGTGGCTGTTTCGAATAGAGCAGACCGCATACTAATGTAAGAGTTTCAGTAGCGTTGATTCCAGTCTTCAGGCGGGGCAGTCGTTCGCCTTCTCTGAGTGGTTTCTCCTCCATTCATGTCGACTCCCTTCCCATGAGTTTCCTATTTAATCTGCAGATATATGCGCTATTATCAATCTCATCTCAGAGATGCACTTCAAAGGAGCATAGTGCTCAAGGCAAACATTCTTTTTAAATTAAGATTTAATTATTTTGATAATCATACAAAAATCTATATATGAGCTTTACAGAAAGATAAGTGATTGTATTTTGGTTATGAGCTTATAGATGAATTTGAATATATTTTTAGTTAAAACAGCAGAAAATCTATTTCAACAGAGTCAATGAAGACTGCACTTTTTTAATTTAGAGGGGAAGAAGTAAAAGGTTTAGATTTTAATGATATGTACCACTTTGTAAATGTAAAATATAACTATATAAAACATGTAAGAACTATGATATTGTTATAACATGAACATAAGCTGTGGCTTAACCGCTTCCTTAGTTTTGGAAATGGAAATGTATAATTTTGGGGGGTTCCTTTTCAAGTCAAGCTTAAATTTGCATTTTTAAAGTTTATTTGCAGCATTTCACGCTGTCCAAAACTAAACACATTTGTAAACAAGTTACATACTTTGCTAATAGAAATGTTAGGGAGCAAATAAGAAATAAGAAAATTCTACTTTGTATAATATTTACCGATGCTGTTGGCTTCCCCTGCAAGCTTCTATTCATTGTCTGAACTAAAAAAAATTTTTTGTACTTTAAGGTACACACGAATTAAGAAAATTAGAGAATTTAACTATTTATCATTTTATAGTTTGCCACATAGTAATTTTTTTATACAAAAGAAAATACTTAAATAAGTATGAGGGAACAAAAAGACTTACAGAGAAAAGAATAAGAAAAAAACCCTTTAAGTTCATAACTTTATGCAGGGTTGCTTGTAGCCATAGGCAGTGGTGGTTTTATGCTTTACAGCTGAAAAAATAATTACACGAGTATTATCTAAGCAACAATCTTTAGTGGATTACATTTTGTGAGCTTTTCATTAAATTCTGTACAACCCCAAATAACATCGTAAATGAAAAAGAAAAAGGTTGATTTATCTGACTCACACTTGTGATATTTTTGAAAGACATTTTATTATCCATTCGTTTATTTGCGATATGATCTCAATTTGTAAAATAAGATATAGGATTACAAAGTTAGCTCTAAGCTCAAGAAGTAGAAAAATTGTGCCAATTATTTAATTTTTAGAAATATATTTAAAGTTTTAACTTTGGGTGTTTCAAAGTCTTAAAATGTTTTAGAGGTGTTATTTCAGTTTAGTAGTATAATCTGTCTAATGCATATGCCATTTGTTAAGGTTAATTCATTTGCTTTTTCTATAAACCTTGCATTTCCTGTTGGTATGTTTTTGGCAAGTGGTAATAGAAGCTTGTAAATAACAGAATCTGCCATCCACTGTCCTTTCTGATGTGGTGCCGGTGACTGGTGTTTTCCCTCAGCAAGGTTTACCTGGTGCCAACCTGCTTTAGTAGTCGGCCAAGTGCCGCAGGGAAGATAGAGTTACAATGGAATGGTGGAATGTTTGATTTTCTTTCATGTGTTCTTGGGCTTTGCTCCCCTCAAGACACTTCATCAGCTCTTCTCTCTGATGTAGTATCGTCCACAAAGTGACAGTCTCAGTAGGCACACTAAGTGACAGGGATTTGTGAGAGTGGATACTAGGGCTTCCTTAGCTGTATATGCATTCTGATTTGCTGTGGAGGAAAGAAACAAAGAATTGTGCGCGAGAAAACATGTTTGTTGTCCCTCTCTGAGCGAAGCTGAGGCAGTCTGTGTAACTCTAGAGAGTTACAGTCACGGGACCCAAGGAGGTCGGTCCTGCGCTGTCTCATTGAGTGGGAATCCACTGAATGACAGTGAGTTTGCTTGTGGTTTAAGCTAAGTTTAGGTTGGAATCCCGTGGCTTGCGCCTTGTTATGTTTTCACTGTCTACTGTGCACATTTGTTTTTCATATATTTTAATGCCACTGGACCAGACAAACCCATTTTAAATTAGTATCAAATTTTCAATCCTAGCTATTATGAAGGATTAATAATGCTTGTCACTCACGTCTATGTATTTAACATATCGAAGAATACTTTAAGTAACACCTTGAATTAGATTGCTGAAATTGTTCACATTTTATTACATACTGGATCAAGACTGAGGTCGGGGAAAGAGAACACTTGTTTGTCTTTGTATTGAACTACAGGTCTCCATCTGTTTTGTAAGTAGGGAAAATGTGATTGAAAGAAATTAAATAACATGTTCAAACTATTAATAACATCATTGTTTATTTAATTATAAACTTAACTGATGCCAAGCATCCCATTATATATATGTATAAAATAAAGGAATAAAATATTTGATTTGTTCTCCAAATGTATCCGAACAGTTACAAAGTCATGAATTACTGTTTGTTTTATATTCAGGAGCCCTGGTGGCATAGTGGTTAGCCTGTGCAAGGTTAGCAGTTCAAAACCACCAAGTGCTCCACAGGAGAACCAAGGGGCTTTCTACTCCCATAAAGAGTTACAATCTCAGAAATGGAAACCCACAGGGTAGGTCCACCCTGCCCTATGGGTCCCTATGATTCCACAGTAGTGAATTTGGGTTTTATTTGATTTTTTGTTTGTTTACAGTATGTTCATGTTATTGTAAAGGACCGTGGTGTCGCTGTGGGGTCAGGGTTGGACTAATAACCCCACGGTCAGTGCTCCAAGCCATCAGCCATCCTGAGGGAGAAGGATGAGGCGATATGCTTGCTCGACGATTCTTGGCCTTGAGACCCCTCTGTAGTGGTTGCTATCATTAGGACCAGCCCCATGGTAGTCTGTTTGGATTTATTGTAGTACACAGGTGAAAGTAGAATGGCTTATCTTCTCATCTAAAAAGTAAGGCCAATAATATAAAGGAGGCTAATGGTATCTTTCATCCTACATAGATTTAGGGGTTAAATGAGTGAGTATATAGAAATATAAGTCAATAAAAGAACACGTCCAATGTGAAAAAAGGTGTGTTCTTGGCAGCATTGCTATCATTGGAGCCTCAGTGATGGTAGGAAAACCCAGACAACAATTTTGAATATATGTGCTTTTTTAAAGCTTTAAAGATATATTTCAATTTAAATTATAACAATTATATATAACATACTAATGGGAGCATGTTAAAAATAACTTCTTTATCAAACATGTTTGAACATATCTTTATTTCGAGTAGTTTTGCTTTATACAATCCATTTATGTCTACAAAGCTTAATTCCGATGTCTTCCATTAGTAACAGTAAGATTCCGTTCCATGCCTTAGACACATGGGTCTGGAAAGGTCAGCAGCAGGTAGAAAATACAATTCTAGTTCAAGAGAAGCCAAATGCTTACCAGGAGGGTACTGGGGATCACAATGTGCCTACCCAAAGCTTAATGAACAATTTCAAGTTCTCTCTGCTGCGCATGCTTAAAGCTAATGTTCTTTATGAAAATTTGCTGTTTGTAAGTAGATGTCGATGCTCACAGATGCATTGTGATGGCTGGAGTGGTGGTTTATTGTAACACATGCCTCTTTTGCTGACGTTGAAGAGAAAAGGACTTTATGTATCACCACCGAGTCTAAGGGTCTGATTTTCTTCCAACAGTTCTGCGGGATGACTTCAGGCAAAACCCTTCCGATGTCATGGTGGCCGTGGGGGAGCCGGCCGTGATGGAGTGCCAGCCTCCGCGAGGCCATCCCGAGCCCACCATTTCCTGGAAGAAAGATGGCTCTCCTCTGGATGATAAAGATGAACGAATAACTGTGAGTACTTCAGGTGGCAATCAGGAGCATTTATCTTTCCAAGGCTACTTCATCACCAGATGACAAGAGACAAGTGAAGTCGCTCCTGTGAAGCAAAGGGTGGCGTTATCTCCCATTTAAACTGTATTGATAAACATACATCATTTCACCCTGTGCTGATAGGGATCTTAGTGAGGAAAACAAATGTTTTTCCCATCTGGGGAAAAGAAAAGAAAACTATGATTTCTTGTTTTAATGTCTCAGAGTTCACACTTTATGTATGACTTAGTTACAGCGTCTCCAGATGTTACAGTGAGAATTGTTTTTTAAAAAGTCGATTCTGCAGGAGATTTCCGATGGAAGACCTTCCGGGTTAAGTTAGGACGTTTGTAAATGTCTGTTTCTTCTTTTGAAATTGCTTTTCTACAGAGTTCCGTATTGTCTATGGGGAAAAAAGTCATTCTGGGTAATACATACGAAAATATTTAGTACAAAATAAAGTAGATTATTGTATTTCAAATTACTCCTGTGTGAGATGATTAGAGACTTACACTATTTACAGTAAATTCAAGACTGATGTAGTGTAAGGAGATCCGTGGGTCTGTGTAACTTCTTTGTGTTTTGTTTTGTTGTGAGGTATTTACTAAAGCACCTTATATAACCGAGCCCTCGTTGAGTCTGAAATTGCACATATCCCATTACAGTGGCCTTTGTTCCTGAACTCATTGGCTAAGATTTACAACTCCCTTGGAGATGGCTGTGTGAGGAGCTGGTCACCGGTGAAATTACAGAGCAACAAAGTTATAACAGAAACCTAATAAACGCTTACCCTGTTCCCGCACAACAATTTAGCAGATTAACATGGGATTTAATAGAGAGAAAAACTGAGTACATTATGGTAGGCAGGAATGTAGGTCCCTTGAACATTTCTCAAGCTTTTTTTTTTTCTTTAAAGATGTGAGCTTAAAGCTCTCAAGTTCTATTTGATCGATCTGTGCCTTGGAGTAAAGATGAACCAGCTCCCCTTTGAAAAGATATTGAAAAGTTAGATGACAAAGTGAACTACATGTGTAATTCCTGTTTTGTGATATAGAGTCAACAAAACAGAGAAACAGGAGACTTGGTAACAAGTCCTTCTCTTGGTGATACCAGATACTTAAAAGATTTCTGTGCAATTAAACAAGAATATATTCTCTTTAAAAATACACTCTAGATTACTTTGTAACATTATATACAATCCCTCTGCTCAGCCCGCTCCTGTCCGGTAGGGTCATTATGGGTCAGAATCGGCTCAGTGGCGGTGAACTGTCGCTTCTTTACAAGAAGTCCTGGTGATACTGTGGGTTAGGCAACAGCCCGCTAGCTGCAAATTGGGAGGTTCGGATTCACCACCCACACCAAGGAAGAAAGGTGAGGTAGTCGTTCCGATTCAGACACCTGGAAACAATTGTTACCCCAACATCTCTCATGTCTTTCATGATTATCTGGTGTTGCTTAATACATAAACTAGTCGTGTGATCACTGACCAAAGAATCAGTGATTTTCTGGAGTTTACATTCTAGGAGTATTAAATAAAACAAAATTACAGCTAGATGTGTATCTACTTCATGCATCTTATTCAAAAGATAAATGAAGTAGCAATGAAGGAAAGGCTTTCATGAGGATTAGTGTAGGACCACAGTTTAATAGAGGCTGCCCAGCTTTCCTGTAGACTGAAAAGAATGGAGGGAAGGTCTATATAGGTAGCTGAAGAAAGGCTGTTCTATCAAGGCAGACAAAACAGTAAACTGAAAATCTTAGGGTCAGCATATAAAAACAAAAACCCCAACCCCTGTGGCCATCAAATTGATTCCAACTCATGATGACCCCATGAATTACAGAGTAGAATTGCTCCTTAGGGTTTTCTTGACTGTAATCTTTATGAACGGATTTCTCCAGACTGTTCTTTTGTGGAGCTATTGCAAATAGACTGTGAGCCGATGGAAGACGTGAACAGATTGGAGGTGGCCTGTGAGAAACAGAAATGCCGAGCGTTGCTGGAACTGACGGCCCTGAGCAACGCTGAAGAGGGACTTGCTATTAATTGCCTCGAGGAGGTGGGGTTGTGGCGTAAAGGGAGAGAAGGTGGCTGATAAAGAACATCAGGTGTTCACGTTTGGGCAGTGTCATTTTGACAGGTTTATCAGAGGTCCACACGTGGCTATAAAATACGCAGTTTTATAAGTGAGTCAGTACAGCTTTATCTCTGAGAAAGTTCATAGGTGAGGTCACGGCTAGAGCAAACAATTGTGAGTGATAGTAAACGTAGCAAGTACTCCTTATTATGTAGTTCACCCCCCTTTTTAATTTATTTTTAAAATCATTTTGGGGGAACTCTTATTACTCTTATCACAAATCTATACTCCATCCATTGTATCAAGCACCTTTGTACATATTTGCCATCATCATTATCTTCTTTATTTTTTTACAAATCATTTTATTGGGCACTTGTACAACTCATCACCATACATACATCCATTGTATCAAGCACATTTGTACATTTGTTGCCCTCATTTTTTTCAAAACATTTGCTTTCTACTGGAGCCATTGGTATCAGCTCATTCCCCGCCTCTTCCACCTGACCTCCCTCATGAACCCCTGATCATTTATAAATGATAATTGTTTTTGTGTCTTACTCTGACCTGTCACCCACTTTTCTGTTGTCCGTCGATCAATGTGATTGGCTCCTCCTTTCTACCCCCATCTCCCCCTTACCCTTCTGGTATTGCTATTCTCATTATTGGTCCTGAGGGGTTATCTGTCTTGGATTCCCTGTGTTTCAAGCTCTTATCTGTACCAGTGTTCATGCTCTGGTGTAGCTGGATTTGTAAGGTAGAATTGGGCTCATGACAGTGGGGAGGAGGGAGCAGTAAAGAACTGGAGGAAAGTTGTGTGTTGCACCCCTCTTTGTAAGTGTGAGTGTGATTGTTGGCTTCGTTGTCGCTAGACAGACCTATTTCCCTAGTTCAGCAGCTGGGGCTGTTAGAAGAAATTAACGCACAGCCATCTAATTGAAGTTGAAACTGAGTAAAGAACCTTCCAATGCTCCCTCTACCACATTGCAATCAGCACTACATACTATTCCAGGTACAGCTCTGGGAAGAGCAGCTGCAGCACGATCCACCCCTCGGAGGAGCTGAGGCCCGGAGGCATCAGTTCCAGTGGAGGGCTCTGTAGTCCCATGATGGACCTGTAGAAAGGAGGGGAAATAAATTGTTGTACTAAGTCTCTAAGAATCATTTACTACAGCATAACAGACCCTGCCCTATCTTCAGTAAGACTGGAGACACCCGTGTATACATGCTATCTTTTAAGCAACAAAAACAAAACACAGGAGACTGGAATCATCCAGGGAATGGTTATAGCAGGAAAAGAGATCCACTGTTGGGCTCTCCAGGAAAAGGGGTGGGAAGAAAGCAGGGTTGACTGAGAGGAAGCAAGTTGTCAGTGCAGACAAAGGGGGGAGCCAGGAGGAACAATGTGAGGGTGTTTTCAGGAGACTTTGACTGAGTCTCATGCAGCTAGTATATCAAGTAATATAAGGGTTACAATTTTTAAAAATCATTTTATTGGGGACTCTTACAGCTCTTATCATAATCCATCCATCCATCCATCCATCCATCCATCCATCCATCCATCCATCCATCCATTGTGTCAAGCACCTTTGTACATATGTTGCCATCGTCATTTTCAAAGGGTTTAAAGTGTATCATTGGATTTAACAATTTGGCCGGTCACGATGAGCTGCACAAGAGCAGTGGAGTGGTTTGGGCGAAACTTTGCCTGAACTGGTTCAAGAGATACTGGAAAGATAAAAATTGGCCAGACGCAGAGAAACCTCTTTTTATAAAGTATCTCTCACATAGTCAGAGGAAAATAAACACAGTAGTAGCCTCACATTTGGAAAGGCAACAGTTTGTCATCAAGGTTTTGTTTTATTGTGTTTGTTTTTGTTTTGACACAGATCACTTACAACCCCTAGAGTGTAAATTCAATTTAAAAAAAATCTTTGCAGCTTTCTACTATACTGAGGACTGGCTTGTAGGAAAGGGTCTGACTTATGTTTACTTTTCTTGGAGCTTCGTTTACTCTTTATTCTGGAGAGGGACGCTGACCTCAAAGTACAAACCACCAGTCCACCTACCCTGTCAGAAGTTAGGAGTTAATGAGAGAACTACTACCTCAATCCAAATTAAACAATTCAGAGTTGTTACATCTATGACTATGAAATGATGCCAAGGTGTTAATGTATAAATAATTAAAAAATCATTTAAGTTGTGCCAAAATGATGCATGATAGCATTCCATATGCCAGGAAGTTGTAACATCTGAAACTTTTACTATTTCTAAGACCATCTGTTTGTTTTGTATGAATTATAACTGTTGAATCGACAGAACACTAGAGGTAAAAAACACTTTTATATATACAGAAACAGATTAAAAATCAGCAGTATTGCCTCAAAAGTCCTGCTCTTATTTAGATCATCACAGTTTCTGTTTTGTTTTTTTCCTTCAGGCAAACCTAAAATTGAGTAATTAAAGCAAAATCTTTTAGTACAAACAGAATGCCTGGCAATATTTCCAATTCTTTTTATTTTTTATTTTTTAAATTGAAAACAAATTTTTAAGAGATGTGGGCTATTAAATACTTGGTGTAATTTTTCTTTCCCAGGCTCTGTTTTCAAGTGATTGTTTCATTTCTGTTGTTACTGTTCTTTGCCAGATGTGCCGAGTATAGATGAACGGGAGATTAAATCACATCACATCCTTATGAAAAGCAATGAGAGATTGCACGGTTATTGCAACAGTTGTGGTTGTAGGCACTTCTAGAGTTCTTTAATGTGGTGGTTTTCTTTGTTGAAAATTTAAAGTACACCTCTCCCAGCTGTGAGAACAAAGACACACCCTACAAAAAGGGAAATATGTAATTGAATTGTAGCCGCACCTGTATTTTTTTATGTTCTTAAGTCCGTTTTTTTTAAA